ATGAAAAAGCAACATACCCAGGTCCTCGGCCATAGCATAACTCATTCTTTCCACCACATGTGCTATGATTAAAGTCACAAGGTAAGCCTGTGTCTAAACAGAAGGTACCCAGCACATTGGGACTGACATCGCCACAGTTGGTTTGACAAAATGCCGATACAAATCTTGGCCTATCAGCTTGCCGGTAGGCACTTCTTACACGTGTTGCAATGCTCGTAAACCGAGTGGTTGATTTTCCTGATGATGACTTAAAAGAAGCAGCAAGTTCTAGCAACTCGTGATCTGCATTACATGACCACCATATCAGTTACGCATTCAGAGTTGATTCTCTATCGAGCATGTAACAGAGGAACACCATTGTAACGCATTCAGCCGTAGTTAGCCCATAATATGGGGGTAAGGCTTGGGCGTTGTAAAATCTTTTGATTTAGACCAATATAGAGAAACGTTCTACTACCAAAAACAAGAAGAAACTGCTTGCCAATTGGATACTTAGGAGAGAAGCAAGAGTTATATACATATATGATGCCTTGGAAAAACTTCAGGCACTTGAAAATATCCAAATTGAATTAATTTTCGTATTGCAGTTTGTGGTTCCACTATTATACATCACTGGTTTCAATATGCTATATCAAAATAACAAGCCTTTTCTTTTTGAATAAGTTTTCAAGCTTTAGGTCTGTTATGAATATTATAGACAAAACCAATCCTATAGAAATCCATAAATCTTTTTCAACGCAATAGGGAAATGTCTCGTTCAATATTACTTTAACTGTGCTACAACAAAATTTAAAAGTCCAAAGTCCCGAGCTTGCCCAAAGGCATAGATCAAATCCCTTGTTATCACATTTCTACAACTACTTAAAGCCAACATTATCGAGTGATATGCAAGTGTTTCTCCATAAGTGCAGCAAACTTAGACCAAAAAATCCTCATATACTTACGACTGTTTTTAATAAATGGTATTATGTTTGAGACTCTTCTGGGGATTATGGTAGGCTTGGATTTTTTGAATGAAATGTTTCTTCCGCCATGATTCTTATCAAACCAGTCTTCCATAAATCGTGCTGCAGCTCCTTTATTATCTCCACTTATCAATGAATTTGTACGGCTCATAGAAGTCCCATGCGTAGCAAACCAATTCCAGCTGCCTATTGGACCCCATTCATCATCGACAAACTTCAAGAGGGTCATATCTTTATCCACGTCATACTTATATTTACTTTGTTCTGCAGATGGATTATTGAGATAAGCGCTGGGACTGCGATTAACACCAGCATCCAAAAGCTCCCCTGTTATTGAGATGGTAAGAATAGCGAAGGCCAAAGAGATTACAAAACCCAAAGTAATGATTAGCACCAAATACACAACAAATTATGAGCACATTATTGTAAGGTTTTATTTCAGATGGGTTCTCTAGTCACTGGATGGCGCAACCCTTGCTTATTATGTTGGTATGTTATCTTTAATTCTTATATTATTATTATTATTAATGTTGTTGTTATATACACATATACATTTCACATATGGCTGTTGTTCTGACCAAGGAGATTTTCACTTTATGCAATGAAATTTTCAGCAAGTCATGTCATAGCTTTGCTACGAGAAAGCATTTCACAACTACGATACAGTTAATATTATCCATATCAGATGCAAAGCACTTTTTTCTTTACATGTTAGCAGGATCTAAAAATTGACTAAAACATCTCACACACAAAAGGAAACTCCGAATTTCATGAAGATAAGGAATGAAAGATCAATTGGACAGTAAGTATGTATCTAACAGAACTAATACCCTAGTTCT